CCGGTCACGTTAATTCAACAGCAGAATACGGTGGGGGTGGTAGTCCCGTTCGTCCCGTTCAAGGGGAATAGCAAAGCAGCGTCAGGCGTGAGTGTTAAGTGCGTTGTTGGGACAGAAACACTTGAACACGGCAGGCAGCTTTTGGGTTGTCATAAGCATCCTCCTTTCTGTTGTCCTGCTGGAGATTCACAGAAGCTCCAGATCAAGACGACTGTTGAAACTGTGAACTGCAGCGGTAATAACAGAGTTGGTTTTGATCCTTCTCGTTTCTTGTTTCAACAGGTGAAATGACGAAATTGCACGTGTTTGGCAAATGGCATGACATTCCAAGGAAGCAGGTAACCTATGGAGACCCTGAGTTAACGTACACTTACTCGGGCGTTACCTTCTCTCCCAAGCCGTGGATCCCAGTTCTCAACCGTATCAGAGACCGCGTCACTTTGGCCACAGGACATACTTTTAATTTTGTTCTTATTAACAGGTATGACTGATTTCCAGTTGCATCAAGCAACTTGTTGTTCAAGTGAAAAGTTGCTCCTGCAGCACAGATCACTGAGGAGCTGTCTGACATTCATTTAATTGGATCGGTAGAAGAACTAACTAATCTGTTCTGTGCACAGATATAAAGACGGTGGGGACCACATAGGCGAACATCGAGATGACGAGAGAGAACTGGTTCCACGCAGTCCTATTGCGTCTGTGTCCTTCGGAGCTTGCAGGGACTTTGTTTTCAGGCATTGTGATTCCAGAGGGAGAAATGCAACGCGCCACATTGAGCCCATCAAGCTGCAGCTAGCCCACGGTAGCCTGCTGCTGATGAAGTACCCCACCAATGTGTACTGGTACCACAGCCTGCCCACCCGCAAGAGAGTACTTGCCCCAAGAATCAACCTCACGTTTCGGAAAGTGATGACTGTAGCCAAGAAGTGAAATACTCAGCAATCAAGGTCTTTTGTCTCTGAAAATAGCCGCTTTCTTCCCTGACACAACTGGCAGTTTCTTGTTCAGACACTGTTTTTGATGATTCAAGGTACCAGATGAAGAAGTTAAACCAGGAGAGGAGATAGTGTAATTGGTAACTTGCTAATAAAGACTGTGACTACTGACCTTAAATGCCAAGAATACTTTCTCTGCGTGGAAAGTTGCTGTACATATTTTGAATGAGTCATATCCTCATTTCGCTCAGGAGGAAGTTTGTTCTCAACTGATCTTAATCTAGCCAGTTTTCCAAAAAGATCAAAATACTCTATATCCTTCAGATATCAGTGCATTAGTTTATAAATACTATAAAGTACAAGATGTAATCATTTAGAGAGAGCCTGGAAGCTGGTACTATTCAGCAGGTGACACTTTATGCTCTGTCAGTGAGCTATGGTTTGTTTGTTTTTTTAAAAATAAAATACAAATGAGACTGATGTGAAAAAGAGGAGTGCTAAGATAGGAATACGGTGAGTGCGACATGGCTGGCTGCATGTTTTACACTCACTGTGACTTTTGACTGCTTGTGTTTCTCTGCTGAGATGGGAGACTGGGTTCTTTCGGTCAGAAGCATGGTGGGGAGGAGGAAGCAGGAGGTGCTGCTGCACAGGGAGAGAGCCTCGTCTTCCCTTGGGCCTTTTTACAGAAACCAGGGAGCCTAAGATGAGCTTTTGGGGAAAAGACTAGGCTGTACCATTTATGCGGACACCAGACAATGCAGTGTGAAAGGCTACAACTTCTGAGAGCATGTTTTTTCTAAATAATTATCCCTAGGGATTCCTTTCTGACCACCTGAAAGCCATCGCCTTCCGTGCTGAGAGTGAATCCTGCTGAAATGAGGAAGGAGCACCCAAAGTCACCAACAGGCCTCGTGGAATCAAGCAGCAATAAGTACTGAGCGAGAATGTGAACTGATCCCCATGTAACCAGGCTACGAGCGTCTGAAACAGTGATGGGCTCTGTCCTTCAGCAGTAGCTCTGTTAGGGCTGTGGAGTTAACCTCTGTTCAGACAATTTGGAGTTGGTACTTCCCACCCTCTGCCCCTACCAGCATGAAGAGCTCCTGCATAAATGCTTCTTATCCAGAGAACGTGAAGTGCTCTTCTATCAGATATACCGAATGTGGTTTGGTTTATAGCTTCGTCTTTGTCTCAAGACATTGCCACACGTGAACAGCTACTTTTTCTGGTAAGTTTGTTCTTTTATTGCTACTGTACAGTTACAAAAATACCCTGAAGTGAAAATGCAACTTCAGATAGCAGTGCAAGTGGTTTGACTAGAATATCATACATTTTTAAATAATGCACAAAATAAAACAAGAATAATCCAAACACAGAGATGTCATCCTGGAAGTCTTATCTGATGTTTTTTAACCTTTTACATTTTATTAACACCTTTTCCACCATAGAAGCTTATGAGTAACAAACAACAGTGTTTGATAAGCCTGGTGTGCCTGCACAGAGCCCAGTGACCTCAAAAGATGAGGGTTGGGTGGCAAACATCTGCAGAGGTCTTTGATGCTCACAGTGGCCTGGGAGTATCCAGCACAGCTCAGGACCAACGTGCTGACACTTTGCTTCCTTCCTCACACTGAGGGCTAAGCCAAACCATCTACTCCTTCCTAACGGTGAAAGCTAGAACAAATCCTGACTACTCAACCTTCATCTTTACAGCCCTTGAGGAACCTTTCAGAGTAAATCTGCAGCTGAGTGAGCAGTTTGTCGTGTAGCGACTGTGCTTTCGTTCTCACCAAACTGGCCCCTGTGGGTAAGCAGCTCTACACAAAAGAAAGAGAAAAATATCTTCAACATGCAAGCTTGCAGTAATGTGTGGCTGTATGTCCCTGTTGCAAGCCGACGAGTTGAAGATTTAGTCCATTGTTTTAGTCCATTGTGTGCGTATGTTCTGACCCACCTCCAGCACTACTGTCTTCTACATAAAGTGACCTGTTCAGATGAACTTCACAAAAATTCAGAGTTAAAAACTCTAAACTCTATTCTGTTGGGAATAGGTATTGCAGAATATACACTGCTGGCAGTGGAAATATCTTGAAGTTCTGAGGTACAAATGGTAGACCTGCTGGAGCCAGATGCTTTGCCTGGTGGTGTTCCTTGGGTGATACCCAGCATTGCTTTACAGAGCTCCTCCTGCACACCTGTGCTGCCCAGAACGGAGGGCTTTCACCTTCGGCACATCCCTTAGGTCTTGGTTCAATGGCCAGGGCATTTTTGGCATTTTGCATCCCTCTAGGGTTTCTTTTCTCATTTTTCTTGTTGTTTTTCCATAACTTAAAATAGGTTAAAACCATGCTACTGCTAGCCTAGCACAGATGGGGATACCTCAGGAACTAGTACGTTGGTGGATTTATAAAGACTTATTTTATGTCCTACAAGCATTACTTGGAGCAGGAATTATGATCCATACTCTGGAATGATGAGTTGTGTAAATAGTTTTTCATATACATCCATTACCACTCCTGTTTTGGCTGGTTTTGAGCCTCCCGTTAAGGAACTCTGAATGTTTATGAGCTTTGGGCAGCAATATGAATATGTGAGGTACAAAGCTGCCCTGAAAAACTATTAAGACAGTTGTTACCACTTGAAAACTTAGTTGCTATTTTACACTGAAAAAGCTTGTCTGATGAATTAAGTCTTTTTTTTTTTCCCCCCTCCAAGCTTACAAGGATAGAAAAGAGCTAAAAATAGCCTATATACTTTATTCCTGGTAATTTAAAAGCAGTCAAAAGGATGATTTGTGCTGCTTCTCCCTCCAGTTGCTCAGGATTTTGGTTTTTTACACATCAAACAATCTAGAGCAGCAAAGTACACCTTACTTCTATTGATGCGGCGATCTGTGTATCTAATGCAGCGACACCGGTCTTTTCACACTGCTGTACTACTGGACAGGACAAGTCAGTGCCCACCAGTCCCAATTCAATCGTGTATACCCTGACTTAACAAGGATGCTTGGATTGCTACACAGCTCAGCTCACAATCACAGCTGGTACAAGCTGTAAAGCTCAATTGCAAGCCAGGCAGCATGTATCTGAATGGTTGATGAGAAATGGCAGTTTTCAGCATTAAAATAGGAAGGGTGAGTCTAGAACACCAATTACAGTAGCCTTGAAATCACAGCATTAAAAGTTGTAGTCAGTACTACAAGCAACCGTATTCAACAGTTTGATAATGACGAAGGAAATGGCAATACTGATGGCTAGCAAACACTTCTGTCTCTTGATTTCAGCTATATTCCAAAGATAGAGAGCAATAAACCAAGGTCTTGGCTCTCAATAGATGAAAAAAATTATCTTTTCTCCTGGAAAAAGGAAACTGCACTTTGAATCAGCAGAAGTACTTCTATGATGTATAAAGAACTGAAATATTAGGAAAATGACGTGAACTGGGAAGTTGTTTTTTGGATGGTGCATGTTATGTAGAGATGCCTTACTGTATGGATTAGCTAGGATATCAAGAGAAATCCGATTCCATTAGTAGTTCATCCCATCATCTTGAGACATTGATCAGAACGAAGTGGACTCAGACAATGGTAATGTAGCTATTTAGATAAGCTCAAGGCACTTTGTTTCTTAAATCTTTGCCTTTGATAACAATACCTTCCCATCAACCGCTCCTGGGGCTCCCCTATTCAGAAACGTCTGCAGTGAAACGTACAGGATTAAGCATCTCCCTTTGAAAATGTACATACATGTCAGAATATGGAACACAGCCTTGGGAAGTCTGTTTGAAATGTCTGTTTCAGAGCTCTGATGTTGACAAAATTACTACCTAACCGAATAAATGCTTCTCTAATGCAGATATATTTTGGACTGCACAATGTTAGCAGACTAACTTTGGGCAGCGTAATTTTGGTACAAAACACAACTCCCAGCCGGAGCCAGCCATTGCCAAAGAGGGAGGGGAAGGTTAACGGGCCTGTGGTAGATTATTTGCATAACAGACAGGAGGTGCAACGTAGATCTCAGTAGAGAAAGTTTGTCAGTTTTCGTCCTTCTGCTCTCTCAATCACTCTTTAGCCCTCAACTCCAAGCTTTGGTGCTGTACCCTCGAGTGAACACGCTCATAGAAAAGCAAGTAAGCACTAGAAGAAAGGACTTCCTGCCAACTGGCCTTGCGAACAGTGTCATCCGAAATCCAGAGCCACTGACTGCTGACAGAGAGCGGGTTCTTGGGAGAAGGTGGAGAGCGGCGGTAAGTCACAAAGTGTCCAGAATGCATGTCTCCATGATGCACCACAACTGCCATCAGATGGTACAGGTACACAGGGGAACTGAAGGACAAATGAGAAAGGAAAGGGTCAGCAGCCCTTGTGGATCACATGCGTACCAGGAGCAGCACCGCTTAATTTGTCTTCAGTTGCAGTTTCTTTTTAGATTATGGCTATTCAGAAGGATGATTTACTGCACCATGAACCAGAGAAAGGAGATTTTGAGGTTTGCTTGTTATATGCCTTACTCCTTTTTCTGGGAGAGAAATGGAGCCAAAGACAACCACTGAAAATTGGCCAAGAGAAAAGCAAAAAAATTCTGCACAGGAGCTGGAATAGATTTTAAATTCTGTGACTATGCAGCCTTAGAATAAAGATCTAATTTGAAGGGACAGAAATTATGGGGTGCAAATCTCTAACTTACCTGCATTCCGGGAATGTAGCAAGTGGAAAAGTTCCGGAGGACATTAAAAATGAAGGGGAGCAGGCACCTCGGTTTAGTACCAGATGACTGTTCTGCATCTGCAAGAGAAAATAGACATTCAGTAATTTAATAGTAGCATTTAAGTTAGTATTGCTAGTACCAGTGCTTCGGTTCCTGCAGTACACTTTCATATTCTGCGATGAAAGGTTTTACTTATTTTAGTTCATTACATATCATGATCCCTTAAGAGATGCAGAGGAGTATAATATCCAAAGACAGTGGTAATTGGTTTTTCATGACACAAATATGAAAATGACAATATTTACAAAATCCCAACTAAACAGAAAATTGAGCTGCCTACATGACAGACCTACTACAGCTGATTTTCTAATTTTTTTTAAGAAGTCACCATTCCCAGCATTCTTTCTATGCTTGTCCTGAAGCCTTAGAAGATGTCACTAACAAGATAATCCCTAGGACTTCCTGAGTTCAACATTCCATTGTCCTTTGGAGATAAAACATGCAAGCTCTACGCTATCTGGGATGTTTTTTGTTTGTTTGTAAGGGGTTTTTTAATATTTAGTAGGATCGAATTAAATTCTCAAAACTGAACTGTAAACTTGGAACAGGGTATCCTAATGCTTGCTGGCAAAGGGATTTCTACCTGTCCTCTTTGCACAGATCCAAATAAAGATACTGCTCTTACGTCCATTCTGCAGATCAGAATGTTTTATCACCGAGCAGATGAGGCCCTCTATAGACAGATAGGAGCAGCCTCACGTTCACAAGCCCCGGTCCTCATGGGGACTTCAATCACTGAAACATAGATTTTCTTTTCAGAATAAGTACCTGAAGGTTTTACTGCTATCCCATCCTTTGTCCCAGGTGCTGTCTCTTCAGACTGTTTCTGATTCAGCTCATTCTGGCTTGATTTATGAACAGGAACGCGGTATTTGTAGATGTCCATGATCAGGAACTCATTGAACTGTACATGTTCGTGACGCTTCAGAGGAGTGCCTTGGTTTGACCAGCTCAGTCTTTGCAGATGGATACACAAACACTGAGGGAGCTTCAGCAATATTCCATAAAAAAGGAGAGTCAAAATACATTTTAAATGAAGAGAAACAGCTATTCAAGTTAAAAGCATACTAACAGAACTGGCAAGTCTAGTAGATAAGGAAAAACATCATCGAACTGTTCCCTTACGTGCTACTGTATCTGTGTGTAAGGTTATTGGCAATAGTATCCCTAAGACATGGCACTAACTCACAACTTGTGGTTTCTGATAATGCCACTCCTGCTTGCTCACTAGGCAGTAGGATAGCCAATGTTAACAGTTTTCTCCAAATGGAAGAAAAAAAATCAATAAAAATACATGCATGTTCCTAAAAAGCCCACCTGACAATCTCATCTAGCTTGTTGATCTGTGAGGTAGAATGGAGGATTGGAATTGGTTGCAGCACGTTTTTGTAAGACATTTGCTAATGCTCAATAAGTAATGGCTTTGCACAGCGAGAGTACAAGGAGAAAAAGGTCAAGTAGTTATAAATATCTGACATTCAACATCATGCCAAGGTCAACCTCTATCAATAAGTACCTACTACTATTGGTGGCACCTGAGGCTCTTAATTACAGACCAGTGCCCTGTTGTCCTCTGCATTACATGATTACAGAGCAAAAAAATAATAAGAGCTTCCCACAGAAATTACACCTGAAGTTTAGCACCATATTCACTTGTTTTAAACCAGCTGTATTTACAACATTTTAATTTCTTTGAAACGTGCAATTGCTAAACAACCTACAAACACTTACCAAGGAAATCAAGAATTAATACAAGACATATGAACTGCTACTGAACCAAACTCACGTTTAATTGTTTTGCTGAAAAATAGTACAATACTCATGTTCTTTAAGCTATAGAGTTTGATGTTTTGCTGAATTAAGGCCTCAGTGCCTACAAATATTTGACAAATCCACTTACTTTTTTTATGTAAAACATTAGTCTAATACCAAGAAGTAAACATCAACCAAAGAGATCAAAGAAATTACTGTATAATAGGACTTAAAATAGATTTGGAGGGTTAGCTTGCCTCACCTTTCCTAATTTTAATTGTTTAACAAATGTTGTTCTCTGGTTTTCTATGCTCTGTCCGTTCAGAGTCCCTTCTGCCTGAATCTGAAATCAAAGGGAAGAGGATAAAGCCATTTGATTACCTGCTGTATCAGATTCCACATAACAGCACAGGTCTGCACACTGCAGACAAAACCAATTCTTTATCTAGAATTATGCCCAGTACATTAATTACACCTGCAGTTTTCTAGGAACTTTCTTAAGAATTGCTGGCCTATCCTAACAGATCAGAATTCTAAACCGAAATCAAGCAGAATCGAGCATTTACAGAACAAGCCCAGTCTCCAGGTTTACGTGCAGTCATATGCCATTTCTGTCGGTTTTCAAACGAGCCACTTTGGCTCTGTGCTATCATGAAATTAAAATACCAGCACAAAAAAATTATGCTAAGTGTTATCTAAATAATACCTGGTAATTACAGAATAAAATATTTGTAAATTCGGTAATACTAGTAATAAGTAAAGCTTCAAAATACTCAGTGAGATAAGAATTCCATTTCAAATATAAGAAATCCCAGGCAGGCTGGAGGCTTTCCTGAAGTCACGAAGAAAGGAGTAGAAAACTGAAGCCATAATTCTGTCAGCAGGCTTAAAACTGAGCTAGAAGGTGATATAAATTAAAATGACATACTTTAGTGCAGTTGTCACACACAACATCCTTCACAGATTCAGAGGAGATGAAATGATGGAGGCAGTGGTCCAGTGTCATAGGACGACCCTTAGTACGAAAAACCAAAATTATTTGCAGTAATTTTAGGGTACATACCACTTAATTTTGTGAAAGGATTTGTCATGATTTCTTCCACAGAAACTGCAGAATTGCAGACTTATTTCTTGGGAAAACTGACTAAATGGCTTTCCTATAGAACACTGATGATGTAGCTAACTATGGGGATTCTTCCTCAGCATGGATTAAATATGGAAAACATTGCAGCCTGTAGATAAGAACAATAGTAAGACTCCTTGTGTGACTCCGTTAGTGGGGTTTTAAACTACAGATTCGTGGCCCGGTTCCTATTTTTCCCCTAAAGTTCTAGCACTTCACAGCTCACCCCTCTACATAGGAGAAATACAGCATTTACTTGAATTTAGGCACTCCTTCCTATCCTTCCTTGTAGACTGTACTACATACTGCCAAGGATGAAGGATATAATCTTCAATGATGGCATAAAATAAAACAAATAGCAGAAGATGTGTCCAACTCCCAATCCTGGCTGTCCAGGCATGTATTCTGTAGGTACGAGTCAGAGTTTCCATAAGTACAAATAGCTGTTCCTTGTCTAGAAAGACAAATCTCTAGCGGACATTAAGTAACAAACCATTATACTTCAATAACTTCCCATGCATTTTGCCTCAAAAATCTACAGTCCTTTGTCATTTGAAGTTTTTCAGAAAGCCAGAAAGAAACAGAAATAAAATCACTTGATCCGCAAGCTTGTATTGCATAAGTTGTGTACTACCACCAGACAGAGCACCCAAAGGTCACCTTCCAAGGCTGCCAGAAACACGCAGCCCTCAGGATACGATCTGGTCTGGATACAATCTGGTCTGTTTGAATTACGCAGAAGGGACCAAATACTCCACCAGGAGAAACAGAAAACTCTATTGGTGTCAACAAAGTCACGGTTGTTATACTAATTGGTAATTTGCACTAACACGTTAGTGATGAGGAACTGTATTACTACAACAGGATCGTTTATGAACAGGCAAGAAAATAACCTGCAGCGACTCATTCACGCTTAGGCTGTAGCATCTTAAAAAAGGAACTAGTGAAGATAAAGCTATGGCAGACTGGCTGGACCATGCGTCAGTGAGGGATACATACCCACACAGCTGCTGGAATACTCAGCGAGAGACTGTCAAAGGTATCGTACCTCACAGGACTCTGCAAGAAAATATTTCACGTATCCAGTGAGCTAAAATTTATGACAGTCCAAAAAAACCAACCAACCTCACACAAAGTGAACATATGCCCTCTGCTGTCCATAATTATCTTTCCCAAGTGGAGTGATGCAGTACACGAGGTCCTACTTAGCCTGTTTCTGCTGAAGCTGCCCCTCTAAATTTGTTTGCAAATTTTTGAAAAGTAAATGTACGAAACATAGTCTTACGGTTTGATCTACAAATGAGATTTACTTCCTGTATTTTCTCTTTATCCAGGTTATCTTCATCTCCTTACTCTGCATAACTGGACTGCAACTTAATTTGGCTTTGCATGTGCAACCTCAATACCACGTGCTGAATGGATAGCTAGTCCTAAAGTGCTACCCATGTGAGTGGATTTTCCATATATGATAGCTGTGGTACTGAACATAAATATAATAAGACAGCTGTTACTCTGTCTGATGAGACAGCTATCATCCCCACAACGTGGATCGCACTTAATTTTCTCCAGTATATTTTGTGATACTTTCACGTTCAGCACCAAAGCCAAAATAAGTACCTGGAAAAGTAACAGTCTAAGCTGTCAGTCCTGCAAACCTTTGGAGCTTAAACCAACTATGTCAGAAACAAGGGATGATGGTTTCAGAATGTGCTCCGACTGTCGGGCATCCTTCTTCACGTATACATACTACGAGGCACACATTCTTGTACCTGGTGTTCACAGTGTTTGCAAACCATGTTGCTGGTCAGCCTTCCATGAAAAGGATGCTGAGATTTCCAGTGATTTGACACAGGGGGAAGAGACCCTGAAACACAAAGTTGAAATTCTTTTATTTTCAATACATCCATGTTCACCACTACAATTCCACATTTTCGGCCCACAGTAACAAAAGTAACTGCTCTAAAACATACTCTGTCCCACTGACACATAATTAATGTTTGGGGGTTTTGGGGGGTTTTTTTGTTTTTGGTTTTGGTTTTTTACAGCTGAAGAGATGTATTTCAGTCCAATACAGAGAAAAATCAGTCTTATCCCCTTAATAAACAAAGTGACCACACTATGACTGAATATTCGTATTTCAGAATGGAAAAAAGCATACCTCTTGTTCTGCAGCTTATTTGCTTTTGGGTTATTTCTGGCTGCTATAGAGGAAGAGAAAAGATTTAATTAACCCCACCTTAGAAAGCATTAAGTATTAAATATGTTCTTATTTCATCCCTAATACACTTTTTGGGGAGTTTTAGTGTCTCTTTATATTTGAGGAAGGCCAAAAACCTGGTACGCAACACCTTTATAAGTGACAAAAAGAACACTTCTAATAAAATGAATAATTATCCTGCAAAATTCTCTGTCTCAGAGTGCTGAAATAAAAGCTTAACAGATTTTATAGACCTTTTGTATATATTTGAGACAAAAAGAGACAGAAACTTTCCGCGTGCATTAAGTTTACCACTAAACTGGAGGATAAGTTAAATTTCACTATTCCATAGAAGTCTGTTTTGCAGTTTTCAAACCTCTTCCATATGTCAACTCTGGCAGATAAGAGTAACTGCTTAGATGGACTACTGTTCCGTCCAAGTACTGCAATCCCTATGTTCAATGGATTTAGGAATGCAGAAGCCGTCATGAAAGTGAGATCACTGAAAATATATTTGCTTACAAAACCCTTTTTTTATTCTTTAGCTTGCCTGACCTATTGTTTCATTTCTATCAGAGTAGTAAAGAACAGCTTTGTAAACATAATGAAAATATCTTCAGTTTCTAAACAGACACTTTATACTTGGCACACTTAGGAATCTAGGCAGCCTACGGAAGCGTCTCCTGACAATGAAGTAACATTGGTAAAGAAATCACCTCCAGTGAATGCACATCGAACAAATGTGTCACACGTGGCTGACGATCCCGTTCATCTTCTAATGAAGAGGTAAGGACGTGAAATAGTTCATGAGCATCCTATTAAATAGAGGCATAAGACTCAGAGGAAGCAAAACCAAAAGACATCAAGACCTTTGCCAGGAGTGCTGATACATGTATGACTACATCATTGCAGTAGGAAATTAAAGGAAAAACTACTGCTTAGAGCCCACTTTATGTATTGATAGTAATCACTTGTGCATCTGCTGCAGTTTTGCCAAAAAGCTTTTTCTATAAAGTTGAACTTCGTAACAGCACACGTTACTAAAAATATTCTGGGCCATATAAACTCAAAAGAGACTAAAACACTTGGAGAAAAAAAGAAAAATGAATGCACAAATGCCTGCTTTCCTTGATTGCAGTAAAAGCACAACTGAAATCTATGCTATTTGCTTTGGCTCTGAAGTATAAGAGATAGAACCGTATTTCATGAGTGAGATAATTGAGTTCATTGGCCAGCTGCACTTAGGGGGTGAAAATACTGAAAACAAGAATTAGAAATCTTGTATGTTACATGTAACTAAATGTGTAAATGTTAGGGAAGTAGAGTCCATCCCTCGAAGCAGCATGGCACATCAGCACAGACTCATTATCGATAGCAAAGTTAGGGCTGGATCCCTTCTATTTTAATATCACCGTCTCCATTGGACCAAATCTAACGGTAATGAAGTATGAAGGTTTGAAGCAGCCAGGGTTTCCATGACGAATATCTAAGCAAACTGAAAACACCATTCATCAATCACATGGTTGTTTTCCTTCACTTTTTAAAGTAAACTTTTCGCTATAGCAAAGATGCAGATTTGACACTCAGGGCTATTTGTACTATAGCTTCAATTTTCTGTTATTCCATATCTGAGAACTGAAGCGTATATCAGGCAGTCCAACTGGAATTCTGTAATCACCTGCTCTTCAAATGATGAGATCTGCCACCTGTACATCCTTAAAACTTCTAACAGGCAGCTTGCATCCAGGACATCATCTTCCATTACCTCTTGACAGGATAAAGCTAGAGACATTGTGTTTAAACACGTCAGAAGGAGCCACAAAGAACAGTTAGAACACAAATCTGTTTATCTTAGCCTTTATGTTACTTAAGCATCATAGAATCGATTACAGCAGTTATTCTCGATTAAGACAGGTAGACAGTGACAATCAAACTAGTATGTATTATTTACCATTCTCATCTGACTCAGGCTAACTGATTGCATACATTCACCTCATCTAATTCATATGCAAATGTAAAGGTTTCTCAGTGAACTGATACAGAGAGAATAAATACAAACACTGTCTGAAAAGACAAATTTTTACTAGTGGATTGGGTAGAAACTGGTACTTTACATGTCACAGAGATGTGCCCCATCATCCTTCCATCAGTTAAATGTACAGACTTAATCAGCACAATTTTAGTATGAACAGTACCCCGAGATGGGAGAACTTCTAAGAGATTTCCTTTTAAACTAAGCCCTGTGAGGAAAGCCAGGGAGAGCCAACAAATTGCTTAAACAGGATGTAACTGATGCACGAATTTAGCACAGGGGCAAGTCTGAAATGGGGTACCAGATTGGGCTTAGAGGCTTGAACGTTTGTATCCAACATCACACAAAGTATCTCACCTAATAGTCCATATTTTGGGTAAAATGGTAAGCTTGGGAAAAAATCCTTCAATTATTTTATAATGCATTATTTTTCTTTTATATAGAATTCTGAGTGTTCATGTAACTGTGAAAATATTTTCCCTATGTCTTCAATTATACCGAGTCCATATTCATATTGTTTTAACCATTAATACTCCCTGAACAGCAAACACATTAAAGCCTGTGGCAGTGGGTTCCACAACCACGTTTTCAGCACCCCTGTTGCCCTCTACCTCGATTTGTTCAGCCTGCTGGCAAACAGCTTCTTTGGAACCACGTGCATGATGCTGGCTTGGCTGCCCACTGCTTCTCGATTGCCAGGCCAGTCAAACAAAATCTGAAACCTTTCAGCTGCTGGCCAAGAAACGAACAGCTTTGGGGACACACACAGCTGGGCCTTGCCTTGTTCAAGGCTCCGTACAGCAACTTAATACCTGTTGGATCTCTACCCCTTTGTGAAAGTTGGTTGAACTTGGCCAAAGTTAGTAGAGGGAAATTAAAAAGAGGGGAAGACAAGACCACGTGAGCTTCCTTTCTTTAGGAAAGGAGGCTAGAAATGATAACATTTATGCTAAATATTTTCTTCTTAGTTTATCGCAACATGAAAATGTTGAAGTACCTCTTAGGAGATGCAGCAAAGTGACCGACAAGTATTGATGCTCAGTGGACTGGTTCTGGTCTGTCTTGTATTGTGCTGTAAATTCCTCCAGCCACTTGATGAAAGATGGACAGGAAGATAAGCCTTGCAGCAAGGAGTTCATGAAACAGGTGTTTCCTAAGTTAAGAAGGCCAGGTACAAGCCCTACAAATAGAAGTGTAGGAGTTTACACCATAAAGTCCAGGAAAACCTTAGTGTTTTCAGTAGCAAGCGTTGGGATAGGTATTAAAATTACATTAAAATTTAGTTATTTCTGCTTATTTGGTACTTCTACCCAGTGAAAACTAGAAGACCCTGGTATGTACAACAGCATGCTGTAAAGCGTTTATAGACATGGTGGTCTTACACCACTGTAAAAATCTTCTTTAAATTGCTTTGGAAAATACTGGGGGTTTTTCCTGATAGGAATAGATTCCTATCAATACCACCAAGGTTCAGGATTATCTGCAAGATGCCGTAGAAACTGTAAAATTCTTGGTCACAACATAAAGCGTAGGAGCCCTTTATTGTGCGAGCAGACAGGAGCCCGCGGGGAGACCACTGCCCTGTCGTGTGCTTCAGCTTGGTTTGGTGAAAAATCTCTTTTGCTCAGATTAGCACATTGGTACGAAAACTCCCGGGTTTCCGAGGATTAGTAAGAGGTTATTTCTCTACAACTCTACTCAGCCAGAGACTTTCTCTTGTGCTAATGCTCAATAAGAAATTACAAAACACAAAATAA